TAATATTTTTCTTGTAATACAGGTGTATATTTCTTTTTAGGATTAATTAATGTATCCAGTATACAAACATCCTCGTTAGAAAGAAATGTGAAAATATTTTACAGATTTGTATTCGGTTATGGTTACTGGATTGCTATTTTGTTTGTCTCTTACAATCATGTGCATATATGTTAAGTAGAACAAAGAAACATTTCCATGTTCCTTTTTTTTCCATAGATTTCACTGTATAGTTTTTACTTGTTTAGTCAGATATAGCAGAGAATCAGATTATTTTTTTATGCAAAACTTGGAGTAGCCTAAAAAAAAGCTTTTGAATTCTCATCAGCAGAAAGCAAAAGAGGAGAAAGGTAATTGATGAAAATCATTGTCTTTGTAAATATTGTACATTATTCTTTCAGAATAACAAATTGTTTACTTACAGTGTCTTTAGCACTGATAAAAATTATCTAGTCATTAGGTATCATATTAAAATCTTGTCAGGGTGATATTTGGTTTATAGATGTATTGTTAATAGTCCTCCAGGGGCAAGATCTATGGCTGAAACAAACCTGTTCCATCACATCTGTATTATAGTTTTAATTTTCCCATTTATTAAGTTGTGTTAATTTATATAAACTAAAGACAGATATAGTACTCTGCCAGGCTTATTTTATATTTATTTTTTTCTTTATTTCATTCTTTTTACCAAAAGAATATTCATATTGGACAGGTATGATTTTAGCTCGGTTTTTCTGTTAAAGTGCAAAGAAATATTACAGATGTTATAACCTTAAATGAGGTTACTTTTTCATCCTTAGAACTAAAGTGTCGCTAGGTGGCATAGATTTTTTATAATTATAATATCAAAATAAATGCAACAAAAGCTCATTGTTCTTTTCTTGTCACCAACAGTTATTTGTATCTTCTGGAGAAAATTATTTTATAAGCTCTTGTATACTTTTTCCCGTCATTTTGCACTGCTCTTAATGGTGATTCATCATCACTGCTACAACTTTCAATTGCAATTGCATATATTTTCTCTTATGACTTTCAAATAGCTGTCTTGCAGGTTATCATTAAAGACCCTGTAACACTGAAATATGAATTCTAATCAATATTTTTAGTGATGCATATCGTCATTTAGTATATATATATATGCAAAACTGGACAAGCGATATTTTATCCTAATGCCACTGGGGATGGCATGTGTGCACATGCTATACCCACTGCAAGTTTTATTTAATTGTTTTTATACTCAGATGGCTCAACAAGTACTAAGTCACCTATGAGCCAGTTATGATTAATACCTGACACTTTTCCCTGATTTTCAAAAATATTTTCTGGTATCTTCTATTGCTATTAATAGCATTATAATGTCTATAATAAAATTAACAGCATCAATATTGATAGCATTAGTAAAAAATGTATTTTTCTACAAACTCAAGGGAAGGTGATATCAGGTGACATCACAAGGTCTACTAGCCAACTCCTTTGTGACTAAGCACTTGCAGAGCCAACTATGTTCTGAGACATTTCACAAAACTATACTACATTGAACACAGCATTTTCTTAGGCGATGGTGTGTTAAGAATGGACTACTGAATTTTGTTTATGGTAGACTGACAGTATTAAGTAAATGATGTTTTCATGAATATTATTTCTTTATTATCCAATTATAATACAATGGAAATACAGCAGTGTCTCATATTGCTTATATTTGTATAAAGGATATCATAATTTAATGAAAGACTACAGAGCATGGATTCTCATTTATTTCAGTCCTTTCAATTGCCCTCTGTGCTTTTACAATACCAAATATATTGCACAATCAAAATACTTATTACATATTTACCACTGCTACTACTACTACTGTATTTGATTTTTTTGTGCATACTTTTGGTAAGGAAAATAAAAACATTGGCTCAAAGGTTTGTTCAATATTGAAAAACCAGCAAACCTATCACAGAAGTGATAAATTCATAGGATATTTTATTTAGTGTTTTCTTATTTTCTTTGTTTCTTGCCTGAAAATTGCTTGGCCACTTTAGCTAAAGGCAACTGAAGTTTGTATGAATTGCTATAACGCATATATGAAGCTCCTATCACCCTCATCACAACTTCTAACCTGGAAAGAAAGAAAAGAATGTTTAATGTTTCAAACAAATAAATGTGTTAAGCATCAAAGGTCATATAGCACTATGGTAAAGTATTGTCGGAAAGGGTAACAGGGAGTTTCAGATAAGGATAAAATATGTTAGATGTCAAAGATTAGAGAGCATTATAGGATAGTATGATACTGAAAAGGGAAAAGAGGGGAGTAAGTGAACTAGAGTAGAGATTAGTAGAAAGGGGTCGGTTAAAGGGGTAAGACAATTGAGTGAATTACAGTGTATAAGTCACTGAGGAAGGTATAGGAACAATGTTCAAGAAAACAAGAGATGGTTGTAGGAAAAGTAGAAGAATCTGGGGAGTGGGGAGGGGGGTGTTAGTTAAAGATTACAGGATATTACAGGAAAGTATGGTAGAGAAAAGAGGAGTAGATAAAGCAGAGCCAGGATTAGTAGAATGGGAAAGGTTAAGGGGGTAGAGTGATTGAGTGAACTGCATTGTATCTCTGATTGGGGAAGGAATAGGGACATTGTTCAAGGAAGGTGGCCGTTTCAAAAGAAGGAGAAGAATCTGGGGGACGGGAAGGTGGTGAAGTCTGGAGGGGAGGGGTCTGGAGAAGGACACTGTTGTGATACAAGGGATTTGTGTGAGTATTCAAGTGGGAGTGGTAGAGGATGAGGTATGTTGGGATGGTGTGAGAGGAAGGCAGGTGGAGGGAACTTGAGGAGGAGGAGGATGGATATTTGCAAATACTTTAAATGTAGGAGTAGGAACAGGTGGATGAGGGAATGGTGTTCCCTTGGGTCATCTTTAGGAAGTTTTGAATGTCTTCAAAGGTTTCTGGTGGGGAGTTGGGTGAAAAGGACTGAGAAACAAAGGTTCTCTTAGGAACAGGAGAAGAGGAGACAGCTATCTGTAGAGCAGAAGGAGAGGGTGGAGTGGAACATTTTGGATGCCTGGTGCAACAAAAAAAATTGAGGAGGAGGGGTAGGTATCGGGAAAGTGGTAGAGATTGGAGTATCTGGATTTAGAATGGAAAACGAATTGACTGGGAGATAGGGTATTTAGATGTAGGATGGTTTAGTGTTTAGGAATGAGAAACTGGGGGAGATGCAGAAACATCTTGTGAAGATGGTGAGGGAGCAGAGCAAAGGATTGTTTTGGAATAACTTGAAAGAGAAAACCTCATCGTCGTGCTTCTTGTCTGGCCTCACGTAGAGGCCTAATTTGAATCTGAGGACTGTTACCTCACATATGAGCATGTTGGCACATGTACATGACTGAGCAGGGCAATCTGAACTGTCATGACCAGGTTGGGCACACAAGAGGGCAGCGGGCTGTGGAACGACTGTTTGGCTAGGTGGCCCAAATGCCAACATTTCTGACATTGATGAGGAAAGGGTTGATGTGGTGGGACAATCCACCAATATAAACTTCAAAGGGGAGGTCATATCTATGGAAGTTAATCTTGGTAATATTAACATGGGACTTATGCTGGCCTCTAAGAGGAATAGTGTAACACTGTACTGCTACTGCATCATAATGAGCAAGGCAGATAAGTACATCATTTTCACAATCTGACCAGTCCTTATTGTAGATAGGACAAGCATTTGGGGGGATAGAAACAGTTCCATTACAAGTATTAAGAGAGGAATGAGGTTCAGCAAGAATGTGTTTGACAGTGAGGTCAGTCAGGGTTGAAAGTGCACGAGCTTGGGATTCAGATGTAACTGGCAAGGCGTGAATGATCAGAGCGACTGAGAAAGGTAACCTTGCCCACTTGTTTTTGGAGGTACTGTTGAAAGAGGGGGAATCACAAAGAATTGATCCCACTTGCCTGGGCCTTATGAAGAGGAGAAGAGGAGAGTACTCAAAAGGTTTGCAGAAGTAGAGGCAGTAGAAGGACGAGGGCGAGAGGAAGATGGTGGTGGTGTTCGGGGGGGGCATTAAGGATGAATAGTAGTAATAAGGGAAGATGAGGGTAAACATTGTAGAGGACCGTGCAGTAGGAGATGGAGAGGAGAATACTGGGAGAGAAGGGGTGCTTTCTGGAGGTTGAGTAATAACCTGGGTGGGTGTTTTGGAGTGGATAGAGTTGTCAGTAAGTTTCGAGGAGGGAGTATTAGTATCATTAAGGGGCAAGCTTAATGCCCCTACTAAGGGTAAAGAATCTTCATTATTGGCCATGGTCAGCCTGAATAAAATGGAAAAAAGAAACAATCTACTCCAGGGTCCCCATAAGGGGTGAGGCCTAGGTAACTAATCAAGGGAAAACCGTGCCCATGGCTACCAAAGGATGTTCATGAGTGACACAAAGCCAGCCTTTCATCCTTTGAGCATGGCTCTCACACCAAAGGAATGGGATAGAAGAAGGAGATGAAGAAGATATGGAAGAGGAAAGGAGACAAGAAAAGACCAAGCAAAATTAGTTGAGGCGAGGACTGAGGCCCAAGGTAGGGGTGATCCCCTACATTGGGCCCAAGTCTCCGTCTCCTAAGCTCTCCCACGACAACAACAAGCAAGGTATTGGGGGGAAGAAAGAAAGGAAGATATTAATTCTACAAAGTCTAAACTAAGAGAAATTCAAGTAATTGGTTGACAAATCATTATAGTTGGACTAAAAGACCATCACAATTTTTTATATTGGTATGCATTAAATTTAGCGCCTTTACTAAACAGCTATCGAGTGTTGCATATAGATAAACATACTTCCCTAATGTACATTGATGTACATTAAATCTGTGAATTAAAATAAAATAAAGTCAAACAAGTAAATAAAGCATAGCTTACTTTATAAATTGGAAAAACATACCCCTAGACTACCAAATCATCTAGGCAAATTTGTAAAATAAAATGGCTGAAGCATCTCTACAGGCTTATTTAAGACTTCATTTATGGCTAGTGAGTAGAGAATGCCAGAATAGGTAAATAATGTTATTATCACTTTCAAATAGGAAGCAATTTTTTCATAATTTTTTTTTACATACCTGTCTCTGGTAATGTTTATTGACTGCAGTAATGCACTCACAGACAACTGATATTTGTTTGCTATGAAAGCTAGGATCAGAAGGCAGACCATCGCTCGATCTGTTGCCTCTCGGTTTCGCATTCTGTAAGAAAATATTCCATGATTAGTGTATAAATTCAAAACCCTTAATTTTGAGAACCTTTATCCCTACATAATTTAGTCTTTAAGTCTATTTCTTCTCCAAACTTCTATTTTAAAATCAGTGAATCAAGTTGTTAAAGTAACAAAAGCAAAACCTTTTCCATATTCCTTTTGAATGACTTTCTACTGCCATTGCCATATCGTTGGATGTGTGTAAACTTTCCTTTTTTTCTTGTATCCATATCTGCACTCATCATTCAATGAGAAAGTAAATATTTCAGTGGCTTAGTCCAGATGTTAACTTGATACTGCCAGGGATGGCATATATGTACATACCATGCCCACTGTGAGTTAAGTTTACTAATTGTCTTTATATACAGATGGCTCCACAATTACTAAAGGTGCAGTTCAACTGGCCTTATTTTCGTCTACAACCTGACTTGTGTTCAAGTGCCCAGCCAGACGTAGCGTTTCAACTGCAAAAACCACCACTGTAATTGCCCGCACATGCCTCACACTTGAATAACACAGCGCATAGTACTTCTCATTTGAGAAACATGGAGCACAAGGATTTATTACATTTCACTGTAGTTTCATGTTCCACGGTGCATATTTTTAAAAAGAAAGAAACACGGAAATCAATTTACTGCTTCAAAATTAGTAATGCTCGTCTGGGACATTAACACAAGTGTAAGTCCTCAGTTTCAAATTAGGCATTTCTTGTTGATTTATTTTTGGTAATAAAAAACAAATTTTATGATAATTAACTCTACATGTTATATGTGAAATCTCTAAAAAAATACCCAAGGAGAAACACGCTCACCATCGTGTTATCGCTGACTCCCCCCAGCCCCCCAGATTTAGTACCAAAGTGACTGATTTGGCCCAGATTGTCATTCTTATGCCTTAGGTCACCAATGGACCAATTACCAGTGCTAGCTATCTTGCCTGTTTACTCTTTTCCTTGATTTTTGGAAATATTTTATTTTATTTTATATTGCTACTGGTAATGTCAATATTATAATAATTATAATGTCTATAATAATAATAACAGCATCAATATTGATAGCATTAGTAAAAAAAAAAAAAAAAAAAAAAAAATGAAATCAAGTGGTGCAATCATAGACTCTAGTGTGTGCTACAGACATTACACAAAATAACACAGTGAACACTACATTTTCCCAGCAGTATTGCATTGAATTCCTATCTGTAGAATTAATATCCTGACATTAGGAGGGCACATAGATACATGCCCAGTTTCTCTTGATTCTAGTTTATCAATTTTCTTTACACACAGATGGTCCCAGTAGTGCTCAGTCACCAAAGAACAATTACTAGATCTACCTAGTTTCACCTATTAACCTGTTTCCTTGGTTTCTAGAAAAAAAATCACTATTAGTATTGGCAATAGCATTATGATAATCATAGTGTCAATAATAATAATAATAATAACAATGACAATAATGACTAATCAACCCAATGAATGAGTTAATCAGGTGAAGTCTGGTAGACCAGCCTAAGTAAAGAAACACTTGTAGAGCCATCTCTATGTAATTACACAAAACAAAACTACTATGGGCAGTGCATGTTACCAGGATCATTTGGTTAACTACTCAGGCTCTGTATGAAAAACACAAGCGCATAATACTTAATGCTCTAATGACGGATAATGTCTACTCATATGATGAATGTTGGGTGATAAGTATTTATGTTACATATCATTCAGCCTAGCCTTAGTTAAGTGTGCTAATTTTTTTGGGCAAGTCCAAGTCTTAAGATGAGTAAAGATGAGTATGCATAAGGAATCCAAGAACATATCAATAAAATTTACATTTGTGCTAAAATCCCTGTGGGTTTGTAAGATTATCTCAAGAAAGTGGGGAGAAGGGGGAAGGGGGGGGGAGGAGAGAGAGAATTAGTTATCTTCTAACATATTAAATGACATCCTTGTAATTGTCTCCAAAGTACAAATCACTAACCTTTTCTGATTAATCATCTCCGTGTATTTATGAAAGATGTGCCTGCGGACTTTTGCTGCACAATCCTGGAGAGCATTTTTCAGTTCTCTATCTTTAAGCCTTAGGAACTTAAGAAGTGTTTCCACATAAAGTGCTACACAAGTCAGTCGCAGTTGTTTCTCTTCCTCCTCTTCTAGCTTGGCACTGGCTAATAATTCTCTGAAGAGTAATGAACAACTGGAAGGATAAAAGAAATGAAAGCATTAAAAACAATAATTAATATTGTTACTATAATTCCTACTGTTATTAAAATAAAAGAAACAATAACATTTGCAATACTACTTTTGTATTACCATTAAATATCTAATTTTTAAAATCCTTCTCTTTCCAGTCACAACAGAATTGGCTCTACTGTAATGCCAAAGCATATTTTTTAACATTTTGCCTTTTACATCTCATACTGAATCATGATGAATACAGACAAAATCTCCCATTTAGCACATCACAGCATGTCCAATATCCAAGGAAATCAACATCACAATAATAATAACGCTTTTATATTACTGTACAAACATTACTACAAATACTATACGGCAAAGGTCTGACAAAAAATATTGCACAATAATATTCTGTGTCCCCTGTGAAGAAGGCCTGCATGCTATATAACTTGTATATACAATGACAAATTGAAAGGTATTGGAAATGCCTCAAAATTATAGTTGTTTCAACACAAGAATATCAAACATTATATATACATATATAACTCACTTTCACTTTCACTTTCACTCTAACTCTCATTGACACACAAGCACCACACACACACACACACACACACACACACACACACACACACACACACACACACACACACACACACACACACACACACACACACACACACACACACACACACACTCACACTCACACTCACACTCACACTCATCACACTCACACTCACACTCACACACACACACATACACACACACACACACACATACAAACACACACATACAAACACACACATACAAACACACACATACACACACACACATACAAACACACACATACACACACACATACACACACACACATACAAACACACACATACACACTACAAACACACACATACACATACAAACACACATATACACATACAACACACATATACACATACAAACACACATATACACATACACATACACACTCACACTCACACTTATACTCATACTCACACACACACTCACACTCACACATAGAGGTGTGTATTAGATAATCAGCAGGCCTTTAGAATTTGTTATTCCTTAAAATTTAAATAACACACAAAAAAGTTCTTACTTTTCATCTGGATCATTCCCTGCCAAAAGATGTCTTGCAGTTTTCTCAAAGTTACAAAGGAAGCAGTCTGGAGCAATCACTTCGAGCTTGTATACATCCTCGATGTTCGAAGCCTAAAGGCATATTATAGAAGGGAGGTAAATATTAGTCAACTAACTTTTCAACCAAATTTTTCCTCTCTCTATCTATGCCAAGACATAGCAGACAAATCCACTAAACACAAAATAGGTATACTGAAAGATGAGGCAAAAGATGTTTTATCATTCAAGAAATCTATTTTGCATATTTGTCTGTCACATTATTGGCACTAGAGCATCTTGTCCTTTACCAAGACGTCATTAATACTCACATCTCTATCACATTCTGGTAAAATAGAAAGTAAGGGATCCTTCTCCTCCCCATCCTGCTCCAAGTCTTCAGATTTCAAATCAACAGCAGAAGCTGCTTGATCTATTGCAAGTGCCATATCCTCTGTGTTTACCTGAAAGGTCAATTTCATCTTTAGTGTTTGTAGACGTTCTTTGGTATACATAAATGCATTTTGTTTTCTGAACTATAGTTAGAAAGTTTTTTTCTTTTTTTCACTCTTTTTTTTTAACAAGAACTGCTTTTAATTACTTCATATCAAATATGTTTTACAGAGCATTATGTTTAATGTTAATGTGACACCCATTGCAAGTGGGTTAATAAAAACAATATATTACAATATGAATCTCTTCTACAAATGTTTATTTACTTGTAAAAAGGAAAGATGAAAATGATGCTTTTCATTAGATTTAACTTTGAACAGAAAAAAAAGACAGCTGTTGTTGTTTTTTTCTCAAATTTTGTTTTGCTTTGATTTGTTTTTTACTATGATACATATTGATCTTGTTGGCTAACAAGGGTAAAGGTTATGAGTGCAAATATCAAGAATATATCTAAGCAACTTAACTGACCAGTAATCATTACACTTAGAACTCATACTCAATTAGAATAAAGTTGTTCATAACATTACAACCTTCAAAATAACTATATTATTACATTCTCTCAATGCTGACTGTAATACTGGCAACAACCATAAACACAATTCATTAAAGTCACTTGAAGATCAACAACAACTGTACAGAAATTACCTGATATTGTTTGCGTCTGTTGACATACTGCTTAGCTTTTTTAGTTCCAAAGGAAGTTGCAACCTGCTCTTGCTTTTCATCAAGTGTCAGAGAGTGAACGGTGTCTTTTAGGTGATGGTTTGTTGACTTGATGTCTTCAAGAACTGGATGAAGTAAGAATGAACTTGTCTCCACAAGCTCCATTTTTCCTGTTTAAAATATGTACATGTAACATCATGATATCCTCCTTTTCTCTTGTCTGTGATGAGTTTTTAACGCTGCTGAACAAAAGCTTAAATACTCTATTCATCTTAGCAAAAATTTACATTGTACCTGAATTCTAAGACTATTAAATATAATCTAATCCACACACACCAGTGTTTTTGTCCAGGACTCCAATGAAGACAGATTCCCTTGAGGTTGTTCCAGCTGTCAAACCAAAATTTTTTCCTGCATATCTCATCTTTGGTGTATCAACAACAAAAACTCTTTGCCTCATGCGACGCTTGCTTGTAGAAATGTTCTGGTACAGTGTTCCATTTAAATCAGCATTGTCCAACACTCGTCCATTGGAGAAAGACACTGAAAGAAATTTAGCTACATTAAATTCTAGGTAAATATAACATAAAAGTTTTTTTTAATTTACATTATCACAGTGATAAAATATATCACTACCTACTGATTTTCTGACTATAACTAAATCAAGTACATTGCTTATACCACCACATGATGATGAGATATAATTTTCTAGTGTGGACTTTTTTTTTTCCAACCAAATAGTCTATAAAAAGATTTTAGAGCTAGAAAAGACCTACTGCAAAATTTCAAGCAGCCTGTAAATCTCTATCTTCACAGTGTTTTGTCAATGAACAAAATACCAGAGGAAGTCTGCCAGTTGTTTAAAACTTACTATGCATCAACATATATGACTAAGTAACTGTTGAATGGAACATGGTAAATTAGTAATTAGTAATTCACCATGTGAATTAGAAAAGATAACTGCAATTAAAATATCATGGGAATGGCATCCTCCCTGAAGCCAGCGATCTTCCAGTCACAGCTTATGCACCTTCCACATTTGTGTATCGATGGGAATAATGCTAAAGCCACCAAGAGGTTTGCACACTCGTGGCGAGACTTTTCTGTCACCCTGGCCTTTGCTCATGAAGGCAAGTTCACGTCACCCAGCCCACAGCCATTTTGTCTGATGACGGTATGTTCATGTCATCAGCCTTCAACTGAGATTTTTTCATGACCAAACTGCAACTTCATCCAGATCACAGCGGTTAAAATTCTCTTTGACTTACGAATGATAACTCCATGTCATTGATACAAAGGAAATTGGTACCAGCTTATGAAGCTTAGTATTTTGACAATGATATTAAACCGTTGTTTACTTAGCAGGCTCTGAGACACGCGTTATTTTTTAATTGTAGTCAAAGTTCATAGAAGATAAGTTTCTTAGAATCACTTGCTCTATCGTCTGCATATATTATTTTTTGTCTAAACAATGGCTGTATGGAACGGGTCAGGGGGAAACACGTAATGTAATTTCATTTCGCGAAATGGAATGCCGTATACGAAATGGAATGAAAGAAGCCTTTTTTTGGGTGCAAGCCTTCAGATACACATGCAGGCGTCCCCTCTTGAACCGTATCCAAATACCCAGAGAGGATTAACCCATTCGTTCCGGGTGTCACATATATGAGACACCGGAAAAAATAAACATTGCCGGGCGGCCCGCCAGTGTGATGCTGTATCAGGGCTGCGCTCCGACGCAGTAGTGGCGCGTGGCCGGGCGGGCGGACAGACTCCGGGGAAACTCCGCCCGCAGATTTTGTAGCCACCCGGATTTTTTTATTTTGGCTACAAAATGTACCCGGCGTGAATGGGTTAACTGTAATTTCGCCAGATTTCAAAGTATGGCCAATAATAGATGGGCCCACGGCCTGTAGGACAGCTGCTGCCACATAACGAGCACAAGCAACGTGTCAATCAAATAATTACCGTTAATTAAGTAGACTAGACTACTTTTCATATTGTACATTATTATTCGTAAGTCTGACATTGTTGCTGTTCAGCTGTTATTCTATCGAGGTTCGCCAGATGGCAGCACTTCTGCTATGTCGGCCAGTAGGCAGCACGGAGCCTTGTTGACGTGTTTTCCCGATTTGGTTTCCGTGCATCGATACCTGCAACACTAAGTTGAACATATGAACACAACTGAGACATAAAAAAGGTTATTTGTGCATGTACCGCGCATCATTTGGTAAATTACGCAATATCATGTTCCATTTCATATACGACATTCCATTTCGTGAAATGGAGTTCCATTACATGTTTTCCCTACAGCGTATGGAACTGGAACTGGACCTGTACCGTGATTTCAATGTGTATGATACAAAAATAATACCAACTCGCCCTGTGGACAAAAATGTCATACAGTTTGGAACTCAACATAAAATTGCCTACTAATATCATTACCTGCAACTGTCATTATTTACATACAAATGCTATCATGACGAGATGAACAACTTGTCTAAGACGCCAAAATAGGGGTTACGAACGGTCAACACATCCTGTCCATCTTGTCTCACTTGCATGAGTTCCAAATGCAGCATAACCAAAGTCAAGAGCATTTCTGTTGTGCTACAGTAAAATTACCAGCGATAGTGTACTAGTCCGTCTTCTGAACAACTTACCTAATAAAGGTTCTGCCTTTGCATTTTGCTTTAGATGTACATCACCAATTAAACATTTCCTCTTCTTTATTGTTGGTGTGATATGTGTTTCGGTTTCTTCTATTAGTGAAGAGTCCATCTTGCGACGATCATATGACGTCCAAGAGAAGGCCCAACAGTGCCGACCCGAAGGGATTCACGTGTAGTTGGTGTTTACAAGATGTAAAGCAAAGGCATCGTAAGTATAAACTGAGTTAGTCAGGGTATATAAAGGATAGTAAAGATATCATTATATAAATCATTAATATATTGTTTTCTTGTGTTGCAAATAACCGAATTTTCGTGATATTATAGTTACGGATTTACTATCCCTTTGAATATAAATTTTAATATGCCCTGAAGCCCTTGATATCAGTAGCACGAAGACGAATTTATTTTATTCTGTATGTAGGGAATTCACATTTCAAATACCAGTCATTCATAACTTCAAGATCCTCTCTGTAATTAATAATCACTATTATGTATGAGGCCTATACTTATTTCCCTCACTCCCTACGGATAAAATTACACTAATCAAGATGGACCTTCACTCTCCGACCATCAACATAACTTAGTCTGTATAATCTCCTGACCCCTTTTATCTTCATCACATGTAATAAAGCTATATTGCTTGCAGTCGTAGCTAGTATCTGCAATGGATGGTCACCTGGTATACTGCACACAACTAAGTATAGCAGGGATTGCCACTGACCAAGCGGGCTCAGGGACAATACGGAAAGGTCCTTGGGTATACTCTAAGACACTCTTAATATCAAATAAAACAATATGTGCAGAAACTATGTAATTATGATAATGAAATTGGAAATTACGACGTGAGAACATAATGCAATTGAATATTATGACGGGAGAACATCCTCCATAGCAAAGCCAATGGAAGTCAGTAAAAGGTTTTTAGTTCCTGTAAATTAGCGTCTCATATTTGCTATATGAGGCACATGGTTTAGAGGTGATGCAATTCATTTCAGGGCACCCCTAGCCATAGCACTGCTGATACCGTTCCTAATATTCGTATTTGATTTAACATACAACCAAATTCTTCCGGTATTCTTATTTAGTAGCAGATGCAGAGATGGCTGAACCTCCTACTTACTACTGTGTTATGCTTACATCATTAATCAACATAACTTGAATGCCACTTGTTTGCTCCGCGGTACTTAAAAAGGTCTTCTGAAAAAAAAGCACACAGACAGATCCACTGTCCTTATTGGACCACCTAGCCCGATTAGAATTTCCCATACGAAGGTACTTGCACGTACCCTTAGGAATATATTATGGGATTTGCCATGTTTGTGACAGTAATGCAAGTCGCACAAGTGTGGGTGATGATAAATGCAGCAGATGAGATGGGAGCAGCTGTGCGTAAGCCACATCTGCCAGTACATCATCAAGACAATCCTTCGTGGTCATCCGCAGGAACTGGGTACTCGGAAGAGCAGGAGGCTCTAGATGCACAATGACTTGGCCCACATTGGTCACACCCTGGCTTCGTACCTACTCGTGTTCCCCAGCCCCTTGGGTTTAACGGAGGACTATAGGGAGGCAGGTTTTGTCAGTTCGCCTCCCCAAGAAAACCCACTGGCAAATAAACGGAGACGCTGGGATAAGGACAGCCTTGCTCTGAAGGGAACTAGAATGGGAGGGAGTTGGGGTGGCTTCTCTCACAGAGGTTAGACCTGACAGTTGCATGATTTTTGAAGGTATTTGTACTTCTTTCTGGTCTTTGGGGGATGGCCATAGCCATCTCCAGCAGCTCGCATTTAGCTTTCAGCAATAGAGGCAACTCCAGTCGATGAGCGTGTAATGGTACTGAGACTGAAGCCTGCGTATGGTTTCACGTCTATCGTTGCTGTATATACTCCTACCGACGTAGCTCTTCTTTGCGAAATACCCACATTGTTCTGGGTGACTTCAGTGCCGTATCTGGTTTTGACCGCGTAGGCTACAAGATGTTTGTCAGTCTCATTGGCTCAGAAGCCGGCACTAGTAGTGAGAATAGATCTCTGACTTCTGGTACCAGCGCTCAAACCCGTGTCTCTGGGCATGGAACAGCGATAGAAATAATGTGGCCAAAGAGACTGACCACGCATTTGTTTATCTAACTCGTTGGGGGATCTTCAAGAATTGCAGGATTTATTAGCTTCTTGAGGTTTGTGGTGCCGATCATAGACTGCTCGTAGTTACGCTCAGGTCCACTGCAAAACTCCCAACTCTCCAGTAACCTCCAAAGGTGTTTCACTTCGACAGACATGGTGGAAGTGTGGCCGGAGGTTGCCGAGGCAGTTTTTGATCGTTTCACAGCCAGACACTTGAAATGGTAAATGAATGGCATATTACGAACCTTGCTGAGAAGGGTGAAGGCCATTTCTTAGTAAAGGGCCTTTGTCCTACCTATCAGTCCATGAGGAAACAGAAAACCCTTTACAGACGTCAATAGTCCGTTTAGTAGAATGAACAGTTCATCGCAGATCACGTTAGTTTGGGAGAAAGTTAGGCTGAGCGCTTTCAGTAGAAGCCAGGGACTCGGTTAGGGACTCGGCCATTGAGACCATATTCAAACTCAATGATAATAAAGCAAGTCACTGCTGTATCGCTGCCGAATTGCTAAAGGCTGTTAATGAATACACGGCTCGTCCATGACTCTGGGCTGTCAGAGACAACCATGAGTGTAGGAAGCC